AAGATTTAAGCTTAATTAATTATATCAAATAATTATAAAAACATATATTTGGATATTACATTTGAGTTTCATAGATTTCCCTCAGAATTCATATCAATTGTATTCTGTAGTGCGCTATTAGTGTTAGAATAGTGTTAGAATCTGGGAAGTTTTCTTTCTTTAGTTTTGTAATTTACTTCATTTTTGAAAAGAAAACACGTTATTTACATTACATTTAGTCTGCAAATAAATACAGTAAAGAATCCAATTATATGAACTATTTTATTTATTGCTCAGCAGAGTCATGAAATTTACTGCCATCCCTCAAACTGTTGAACATTTTTTGCTTCTACTCATAGGTGTTGAACCAATTTTAGCCAATTCTATGGGACAGGAGGGCAATACATTTAGTGTTCGTGGTTTTTTAATCAGGGATGGAGGAAAATGTATTCTTTAAAAATCTTTATTAAACCTCAATTGATTTTGAACTGTATATATAAGAGTAAACCGATATGCTTTGCTGATTCCCTGTAAATCACTCTAAAACACTGATTCTTTGAGTAAAGATGCACTAGTTTATTTTGATGAAATACACTGTAATACATATCTATTTGGAACACCTAGTAATTTATCTTACCTACTGATACATTGTAATTTATAGACCACTGATTCAAAATAAAAAATATATTTTGCTAAAATTGATTATTTCATCTCAATAATAGTCTGCGGCGTAATCAATGCATGCATTTCCATTGCACACCTTAAAACTGCTCTGCATATAAACAAGAACAGTTACAGTTTTTGAAGATGGTCTATGTTTTATCTACATAGTTTATGTAAATCATTCTGGTAGTCGGCTACTAGTATTTCGTCGGCTGAGCCTCGGAAAATGTACATTAAAGTTTTGCAAGATGTGAAATTTAAAACTACTTATAACAAATTAATGATAAATAGCGTCCATTTCTGCTAGTTTTTAATATACGAGAACACCTTTGTAGGACATGATTTTTTTTCTACTTGCCCGGAAGCCTCTGTGGTGTTACTGGTATAGACAAAAACCAGAGAGTATGCCAGCTTTGTGGCAACGCACTTTGAAAAAATTACGCACTTTGAAAAAAAAATGAAAGTGCGTTAAAATTGGGACAAAATCAACGCACTTTGAATTTTTTTTCAAATTGCGTTAAGAGTGTACATAAACATTTTTCCATTTTATTTTTACATTGGGGGTGTGTAACGCAGTTTGAAAAAATATGTATTAAACAAAAAAATTCTATACTTATATTGAAGTAATTGAGATAATTAATTCCTAATACTTATATCTTTAGAAAAAGTTTTAATTTAGTTTACATGTACTCATTTAACCTCATTGAGAGCAAAGAGAAGACATGCATCAGAAAGAAAGAAACAAGTACAGCAAATTATGGGATCTGTCATATTCCACAATACGAAAGGTCATACTCAAAAATGTGTTCTAAAAACAGTTAGAAAATGAATAAAAATGTTACAGACATGTGTTTTAATTAAAAAAAAGAATATTATAGTTAAATCATTCATACTAAATCATAGAAAAGCATTTTTTATTTCTTTCCGAGCCCCAGTGACATTATTTATTGAACGCCCCTCGTTGATCAATCAGGTCTTTTTTCCAACAGGATGTGACATATCCGACTTCCAGAATTGCATTGAAAAGTTGAGTAATGCATCTAGCTACTTGTATACCGCCATGAATTAGATGTTCGTTTTGAGTGAGATAAAGACCAGGGGCTTTTCTGCGCTTGAGATTTCGAATAATGTTCTATATTTCCTTAACGGTCGTTGGACCTCCTGGGAAACTATCATTTGATGACAATTGAAGTGAGAAAGTCTGAACAATAATTTGCGTTTAATTTGGCATTATAAATATCTGAGAAATGCTTTGCAAAAGCGAGAGAGACGCCAGGAGGGTCGTCAAACTGTTCGTCATTGTATTCAATATCAGGGTAAGTGCGAGAAGAACGTGGTTTCAGTCGTCTGATTAATTCCCAGAATAGGCGAACATCGCACTCTGATGACTCGTCTATATCCTTAAAAACACCTGACATGTAACGATTATGTTCGTCGTTGAGTTCGTTCCGGAAGTTTCGTTTCGCATGTTTGTCTTTTTTGTAAGAGTCGTGTGTTATTCCTCGAGGGCGACCTTCATTTATCCACATCCTTTGCATTTGACGCTCTGTATCATGTAGCGATTTTACTTTGGGAGTCCATTCTGGCCTCGAGAAAGGTTTATACTTTGCCGTGGGGATAGATAGCGATGATTCAGAATGTAGCAGAATGTGCAGAACTTGTTCAGATCTTCTATAGTTTTTAGACTTTCGTTTTGGAAGTCTGCATGATTATGAATATATTTTTCGTATTCCCTTATTTGGTCAGGTTTTGCTTTATGCCAGGCTGGAAGCGAGACAGATGGTTTGCATAGAACATGTGTCTTGATGTCAGTTAGTAGTTCTATGCAAATTGGCAGATGGTCAGATGTAGAACTGAAAGAACCCTCTTCATAGACATGGTAGTTTACGACATAATTGCACAGAGTTTTGCTGCAGATTATGTAATCTAATGTAATGCGTGTCGTATTACACGTGTAGTTTTGATCCATTTTTTTTAAGTCTATGTTCGGGCATGTCAGGTTGCTTGGAGTAGTCAAGTCTTTCAAGACTTTTGATTTTTTGCAAATTGCAGTGCGATTAGTCTTTGGTATGAAGACTAGCATTGAAATCGCCCCCAATAAGCACGTCACCATATGCACAGTAGAGGTTATATAGTGCTTGAAGTAATTTTATCTCATCAGCATAAGATTGTGTATTGCCATCCGACGGAAGATATACACCAAAAATATACGACTTTCGATTGTAGCGCTTGAGCTCTACGCCGATAATGCGAGTAGTGCTAATGTCTGTAATTTCGACAACTGAGAACTGGATACTTACTGTATACAGAGTTATTTTCGCCCCATCTTATTTTCGCCCTTTCACACTTGCAAACAATTTTGCACCATTTTAAAGTCGCCCATTCATCATTTTGTTTAAGAAATTTTACTGTATTCTTTAAATTCGCCCAAAATGAGAGTATGGCGAAAGGGGCGACAATAAAACGGGGGTGAAAATTTCCCTGTATATACAGTACTTACTCCACACTTGCCCAGAAAGCGACAAATGTCGGATAGAGTTTCATTAGTAGATTTTTCTATACGTGTGAGACTACAGAAGTCTGAACATATGGAGTCTAGATAATTTACACTGCTTGAATTTATGCTCTGTTATTATTGCAATATCACATTTTGATTTTTTTAAGAGTTCTGCTAAACAAAGTGACGACGATATGATACCACAGACATTCCAGGTCAAGATATTTATGGAGTAAGACATTTCAACGATATAACAAAATACTTCTTATATTGCAGAACGAGAGAGTACAGGTACTGTCCACACATCTCAGTACTAACGTCAACATGGATAGCAATGTTACTGGTACTGTCTTGTACATCAGTATTAACATCCTCATGGATGGTAGTGTTACTGGTACTGTCCTTGTACATCAGTACTATCGTCCACATGTATGGCGGTGTTACTGGTACTTTCCACACTTCTGAGTACTAATGTTCACATGGATGGCAGTTTTACTGGTACTGTCGTTGCACATCAGTACTAACATCCTCATTGATGGCAGTGTTACTGGTACTGTTGTTGTACATCAGTACTAACGTCCATATGGATGGTAGTGTTACTGGTACTGTCCACACATCTCAGTAGTAACGTCCAGATGGATGGTAGTCTTACTGGTAATGTCCACACATCTCAGTACTATCGTCCACATGGATGACGTATCACTAGTACGTACTGTCCACACATCTCAGTACTACTCACGTCTGCAAGGCTGGTAGTGTTACTGGTACTGTCCACACATCTCAGTACTAACGTTCACATGGATGACAGTGTTACTGGTACTGTCGTTGTACATCAGTACTAACGTTCACATGGTTGGCAGTATTACTGGTACTGTCTACACATCTCAGTACTAACGTTCACATGGATGGCAGCGTTACTGGTACTGTCCACAAATCTCAGTACTAACGTTCACATGGAGGGCAGTGTTACTGGTAATGCGTTGTATATGTTGAGGAAGGTGATGATGTACTGTTCGCGGCTGACATACCTAACGGGTGAGATATAAAAAAGTAGACCCGAAGATCGATTCTCCTTTGCAGGACGGGCTTTAGCTTAACCTTGCCAAATAAATAATGTGTGCAAGAAAACAGATTCCATTGTTTTTACATGCAATACTATAGCTTGAACTTTTTTGTTTGATAAGTTTTGTATCCATCCTTTTAATTTTCGTCAATTTGTAATTAGGATAATTACTACAACTAAACGAAAATATTCTAGCCAATGTGACTTTTTTCAATCAGATATTGATCTTAATTCTATTTTAGAACAAGAATTATAATTAATTCCAAATTCAATTTTCTTTTTCTAATTATTAATATGGCATACCTCATTTTCCATTCAATGTTTTTATGAAACCCTAGTATTAATTATGGGTATGGGTAGAGGTCAAGTTTCTACCCATCTCTAGGACATTTCTTGCTACATGTATGACAATTCAAATTAACTAGAGTAAAACGACTTTTTTTTAATCCGTTGCTACGTTTTATCTTGTATACAAGTAAAACTAGCACACACATAAATATTACAAAGAATAACTTAAATAAAAATCCATTACATCAAATGTTTTGAGAGACGGACAAACACACACACAAACACACACACCTAAAAACCTGCCCATAATGGATCGACCATAGATTGGTGTGCGAATTTCGGTTCCACACCATTACTGTTCTTTTAATTTAAGAAGACATGTCATTATTTGTAAAGTTTTGGGAAAGGTTTACATATCAGAAAGATAAGAAATATTGAATCAAAGAGTCCCAAAGAAATCGACCTAAAATGGCGTCAATGCAGTACGTAGTTATTGCACTTTTGGTGCGCATTCGATTATTTTGTTGTGTCAACTGAAACATTTTTGATCCAAATTGGAGGTCAGTAATTAATATGTTAAACGATCTACAAAATACTATTAACATTCAAAATGAACGAATTTCCCTGTTAGAAAAGCAAAGGGACATGCCAAACATGGGATCATTGGAAGAACTACAGAGGATTGTTACTGCTCAAAACAAACGCATTTCGTCTTTGGAGAGGCGAGTCTATGACTTAGAAGAGATCATTATTAGCCAATCCAAAGCATCTGAATCTCAAGCAAATATCACAAGCCATAAGCAACCTAAAATTTCTGTTTACCAACAAATACGTCATCAACATCCTAGGACCAGTTTTAATTTGTTTAAACCTCCAAACGTTTTCCAAGGGAAAGAAGGAATAGCTTCAAAAATATCTGCATCAAGATTTACAAAAGACCCAAAGTGTGAAAAATTAATAAGGAGAGGTTTAAACTGATTGTCATATTGCGAAACATTGCCAGTATATGAAATGCTACATTTTGCCTATAACAAAATCTAATTTATTCTGAAATATACATATTATCCATTGCTTTATTTCTTTTGCTTGATTTAAATTTTAAATACAGTAATATAAATATAGTAACTAAATAATAACACATTTGGTGTTTTGTGCTTCAGGAAGACTTCTTGCTCCGTTGACAACGCCTACAATCCTTCCATCTTCAAGCAATACCGTGGCGTTCTATGCGTACTTGTCCAAAACAATTCCTGCTTTCGTTGGCCATCACATCATTACATTCGATGTAATGATAACAAACGTTGGGAATGGATACCATCCCCATACAGGGATATTCATTGCACCCCGAGCTGGAATCTACGTTTTCGCATGGACAGTAAGAATGTTTGGGACGTCTTTCCACACAACAGAATTGGTAGTCAACAGCAATGTTGTTGGGGCAGTTTATCTAAATCCAGCCTCAAATATTGATGGTAGTGTTTCAAATGTTGTTGTACACGTTTATAAAGGAGATGATGTTTACATAAGAACAGGGGACGACAGGAACTCAGGAAACAAAGAAAGCTATTCCTGGGGCCGATCCTCCTTTTCTGGTTGGATGCTGCCATAGTCAGGCCAATTTAGCTCTGATTTTGAGTCGTCTTCTTACAAATCTTCCAAATATATATTTTTCATTTCTTGAGTGTCATTTCTTTCAACCTTACCGGTAGGCTTTTTCTGTACATGTTTTATTTATTCCCTGTTTAGACAGGAAGGAATAAAATTGAAAATGTTAACTTGTTGAGATAAATTCAGCAGAGAATATTCGAATATTTCATTCTTTAGTTTTGTAATTTATTTCTTTTTTGAGAAGTTGTAGAAATACACTTTTTTACTTTACATTAAGTCTGCAAATAAATACTGTAAAAAGAATCCCATAAACTGTTCTATTTATTGCTCAGCAGAGTCACTCATGTGATTTATATTCATATTTACTGCCATAGCTTGTTGAACATTTTTTGCTTATCATAAACTTTTGAACCAGCAAATTCTATGGGACAAGAGGACGATAAATTTAATTTTCATGGTTTTTGTCTCACTGGGATGGAAGGCAATGTATTCTTCCAAAATCTTTAATATTACTCTACTGATTTTTCACTGTATCAGAGTAAATCGATATATTTTGTTGATTCCATGAGAATCACCGTAAAACACTGATTCCCTATAAAAAAGGTGAGTCAGTTTAATTTGATGAACTGAAACACACCTATTTGGAAGAACTAGCATTTCTTTTTGCTTATTGATACATTGTAATTTATAGACCATTGATTCAAATTGGAAGATCTTTTACTGAATTAATCTATTTCATCCCCATTTATATTATGCGTAATCAATACATGTATTTCCATTGCACCTCTTATAACTGCACTGCGTATAAAATAGATGAACAGTTATAGGTTTTGAAAATGATTTGATGATATCAGTATATTAAAACAGTTAAAGTAAATCATTTTGGGAGTCAGCAAGATTCCAGTTCCCCTCAAGCAAGACTATTTCCCTCAGCTGCACTTCAGGAAATATGTTACCTGAAGGCTTTGCAATTTAAGAAATTTGAAACTGTCCACAACAAATAATCGATAAAAAGCACCCATTTCTGCTTGTTTTTAACGTTGTTTAATATACTAGGACACATATGGAGGACAAGATTTTTGTTAGACGTCTCTGAAGCGACTGTATTGTTACCAGGTATAGTCTCAACGTGAGAGAGTGTTTCAGCTCCATCTTCCTGTCAGTTGAGCATTTGAACACAATATAAACAGGTCTTGACGATTTCCAAATATGGAAGTCAAGAACGATAATCGAACGTTGCTATAAATGTACATCAAGTAAACGTATTTATTTTTCTGACCTTTTTCAACAAAAAATCTGTAGAAGTAAGATGAAAACTTTTGAAGAATAAGATATTCCCCACATATTTACCGTGAACAACCTTGACATTTTTATCTCGGTAAAGAAAATACTACTGCATGATAGAATGTAATCGTTTAGTACGAAGATATAGATCACACCAGCAAGTTCCTATCAAGTTCAATTATAACATTTACCAGAATATATTATATGTTGGTAAATATAATTTTGCTTAGCCGTCCGATTTTCATCGACAATGCTTAAATTCCATGTGTATAGATCAACTCACACAAGTGTTTATTGTATGGACTATACATATATAGTTTTAAATTATCACGGGTTTCATGAACGCCGAATACTAAGCTATGCAGACTTTAAATGGGCATAAGGAAAGGCGTGCAGATATGAAAGGCATCTCGATCCCGATGTCTTAACCATTTAATACAATTTCCATCTCTGTTTGTTGTTAAATAAGTCACGGTCCATGCATTAGAAAATAGCAAATAGCAATTTTTGTATTAAAATTAATAAACTGCTGTACACCTGTATCATTTCGTAAAAAATATTTATTTAAAACAAGAAAGAAAATGAAGTCAAGTATAAAATATTTTGTTTTAATTATATTGTTTTGAAATTAATTTCATTTTGCTTCAAAATATTTTTAGGAAATCCCCTTTCTCTTTTTCCTCTCGCTTATTATCTTTTATTGATATTGTCTGTATTTTTCATATGCCATGTAACGGCTTACCAATCCCCCCCCCCCCACACACACATACACATACACACACTGAAATACAAAATACGTTATCATCAACGCGATCGATAAAACGTTGTAGCCGTTTTTAAAGAGACTGTTCAAACTGATTTCATAATTAGCTTCAACAGCATTATAAGTATTGAGTATATGCATTGAAGAGCCTGTGTAACTCCCTCCTTTTCCCCTCCCCTCACTTTGGCGTCAGAATCAAATTAAAATTAGGGAGGGGGCTATTTGAAAGAGAGAAAAAATCAGCCCTGAGAAACCTTGAAAAACAAAAAAGTACTTAAATACTACTATGTGTATGTGTATATGTGTGTGTGTTGGGGGGGGGGGGGGGGGGTCGAACTTTTTTCATTGCCATTTTTTTTTCAAAAAATAGTACTACCACTTACTCTTCTTTGACTGCAATACAACGTGCCTGTTGAAGGTGGGGAGGGGGGCATATCCTATACCCTCAATGTTCAATGCATATATTATGTCTATCTTTGCAAAAAAGTGGGGGGGGCCGCCCTCCCCAAACCCAGTTCCGACGTCTGTCCCTCACTGTGTGCATGCCTCACCATGTACACACACAAAATTTGATAAGTTAAACGTCTTTTGACTTTCATTCATTAACATCATTTGTGGCTTGATATAAAAACCATTTCATAATACGGTATTCAACTTTCTTTTTATGCAAAGAATAAAGTAATTATGGCTAAAAATTTCCAAAATAATACATCTTATTTTGCTAAGCCTACATGTACTTGTCCATTGTGCTAATTTTCTTTGGCCGAGATCGAGAACAGTGTGCACAAATTATAGAATTGAAGAGAAGGAACTGCTTCAATGTAGCCAAGAAAAAAATCACACATTAAAGAAAAATTACAATGATAAAATATCTCAGTTTTTCAGAGCTTTGTTCACTATAAACTTGATCATGTTCAATTCCCAAGCTCCTTGAAACCATGGATACGCAAAGGCGTCGGCGCCGAGGTGGGGGGGGTTAATCCCCCCTCCCACTTTTTTTTTTGCAAAGATAGTATTTGCTTCCGCCGCCCATGATACGGCTATCGACCTACAATTTAGGGAGTTCATTCAAATCGCCCCAGAATTACCAGCTATTCAATTTTTTTTTTTTTTGGGGGGGGGGGGGGGGCCGGACTATGACCATCAAATATCTGATAATGAATGGCATATAAGATGATAAAAAAGGAAAAGGAGGATGGACATTTTCAGTGAATCACCCATACACATTTGTTTTGCCCTACAATGTATGGTTAAATCTTTCCCAGTTAATGTACAACTATATGTATTTACAATTTACAAGTTTGAGTTTAAGAGGTTTAACTGTATATATAATTATATCTGTATTATTGGAGATATGTCGTGTTGTTGTAAATGTTAATTCGAGAATGAACAATGAATACCCTAATATTGAGAAAGAGAGAGAGAGCGAGAGAGAATGAGAGAGCGAGAGAGAGAGGTGAATCTACAAATATTTTCGAACTATTTTTTTTACAAATTTAAATTAAAAAAAACATACTTGTTTTTCGAATTTTATTTTTTAAACTTTTACCCACCCACTCCTCCCCATAAACAGGATGCATAAGGCATGCACAGCAACTGATATGTTTTTATTAAAAATATCACACTACATATCATTTCTTAGTTAATGAGGTTAAAAACCAAACATGAAACGATGGAAATGTAACCAGATGGTTTAAGCATCGGGATCGAGATGCCTCTCATACCTCGATACGTATACGGATACGGATACTTATACGGATACGTCAGATAGAACAATCTCTAATAATAATAATAATGATAATAATAAAGACTTATATCTATTCGATAAGATTTTTTATGTCGGGCTCTAAAAACTGAAAATTTATCGTATTTATATCAAATTCTTAACGTAAGTTAAACTTTAGGATTGCTACCTCCAAGTGACAGATTTTTTTATCCCACTTAAAACGTATTCTAAGCCTTCAAGTCGTGTTTGTTTACGGTAGAATTGTCATAAATATTATATTATTCCCAAATGCAGATAAAGTTTACAAAAACTTTGTTCTTAAAAAGTCTTTTGAGCAAAAAACTTAAAAACCAAGTGTTTTATTTATTTTCTCATGGGTTTGTCTAAATGCTGTTATCTGATTGGTCAGAGGGACTACCGCCTTGTTTTATCTGTGTATTAATAGCGATTCACGGTTATCGTTCTTGACTTCCTTATTTGGAAATCGTCCAGACCTGATAAAGGATACACGAGTTTTACCAGTTATAATATAAATATTTTCAGAGAGCCTTACGATAAACGTATTACATGTAGGGATGTGAAGAAAGAGAAATATTATTAGAAAGAGAAATATTATTAGAAGGTGAATAAGTGCGCTATTTAAAGTGACTAAATGATTATCGTTAACAGAAATTCGACATTTTGTAACTAACTGTTAAAAATTAAATTTTAAAGAAGCAATGCCTGTAAAGTATTTAAAAATATAAGAAATAAATACATGCAAAAAATCAGTACTAGTCTCAATATTACATGTTTTTTAGAAAGGGTTAAACACGGGCTGTGGAAAAAGGAAAATAATTGGAGAAGGCGAATAACGGCATATTTCTAAAGGGCTAAGTGATTATTCAGATATTTCACATTTTATATCATGTACTTATTGAATTTTAGTGAAGCAATGTGAAAGAAGTATTTAAAATTAAAAATAAAACACTTACATGCATAAAGGGCATTCTGACTGAAATAATTTATAGAAAAGGTTACGATATGCTTATCAAATTTTCTCCTTGTGACTTGTGACCTAGATAACGCATTTGAGGTGAGCACTATTAACAAAGGACCAGCCTTGAAATGCAGACGGGATTTTTCCTTTTTATATTGGTCCAATTCCTCTATCTCCCTGTTTATGGTCATGTTGGGGTAACATTTAGTACCAATACAGACTTGAAGACGGTGATGGAGAAATTAGAGGAACTCCAGACGACCGTACACCTTCAAAGTGATCGCATTTCTCAGTTAGAGAAACAGAACCGAAACTTGGAAAGACTGATTGCCACCGATCTCCACAACAACGACAACAAGCATGAGGAACGGATTTCCATTCTAGAGAAACAGTACTTGTGTTTAGAAGAACGTTTGAAAAAACAATCTAAGAACATTACATCTGTGAAAACGCTTGAGAGGACCACTATGAAAAAGATGTCCGGGTTATTGAGTAGACAAAACGTCCAAGAAAAACTGTACAGAAATCTGAAGGATCGACTTCAAAATTTGATGCACTCCCAAGAAGAAAAGTCCTTTTTCGCTAAGGCCCTCACGCAGCACAAAGAAAGCTTGATAAGAAAAGGTAAAATGCCATCGTTACATCATATTTATATCATTTTAAGAAAATTTTAGTTTCTATTAACTGTATTTATTTCTTTTTCAGAGCGATTGCTTACTCCTGTGACAACTACTGCTTCACTTAGCAACATTGTCGCTTTCTACGCGTATTTCTCAAAGAATGTTCTGTCTCCCGGCCTGCATCATATCCTTACATTTGATAACGTAATCACCAATACTGGAAATGCGTATCATTCCCACGCCGGTACCTTCATAGCCCCCCGATCTGGTCTTTACGTGTTTACGTGGACTATCAGAATATATGGAACATCATACCACTCAACAGAACTGATGGTTAATGATAATGCCGTTGGGTCGACATATCTTAATCCAGTTAATACTATAGATGGCAGTGTTACCGGTACTGTCGTGGTACATGTTGACCAGGGAGATGACGTTCTGGTAAGAACTCGCGACTCGTATAACAATGGCCATATTAATAGCGATATTGTGGGAAAATCCTCTTTTGCAGGATGGGCTTTAGTTTGATACTTCCAAAATAAATATTTTTTTTCTTCTGTATCTTTTATCTAATTAAAGACATATTAGTATGGTGTATCTTGTTCCTTTAGTTTTACATAATACATGTTCCTCTTTTTAGAGAACTGGGCAGGTTTTTGTCTAAATCCGGCGAAAGCCTGTCCAACTTCTATAAAGAGAATAAATACATGAAACATACGGAAACTGTTAGCAGTGTGGCTATTTTTTTCAGTCATGGCTTGTATTGCTAAACACGTTGCTAAACTAAGGGCTCAAAATCCGTCCTTCAAATTTTATTTTTCCAATAGAAAAGAAATAGGAGTTGTAATGAAAATGCAAACAATTGCATTGTTGAAATTTATACAGTTTCATCTTTGACATTTTTGAAATGAATAAATAGAGGATGTTCAATGTTTTGTAGTTGAATATGGAATTTATTTCACGAGTGGGACAGGATTTTTGATATTTTCACGAGTGCGAAGCACGAGTGAAAATATCAAAAATCCTATCTCACGAGTGAAATAAATTCCATATTCAACTACAAAACATTGAATTTTCTGTTTATTACATTTTTAAAATAAAATTCTTTGATTTTTCCTTTGCCTCTGTCTTTTTGTTATACAGTCATAGGCTCGTGACGTCATAGTTGAGCGGTTGAGACGTCATAGCTATGTGAGGTGAAAACACTGTAAACATGGATTTAGCAACATATTTTTGGTAATTTTAACAGTTTTATTCGCTGCAAGAGTGGTTTATTTATTTTCATCTATCCTATATTAGGTCAAGGAAGATTTTTTTTACAGCAATCTTCGTTATGGGAAGGGAAATCGACAGTTTTTCCGCACTTCTGATATTCATCACACTGTGACAGGATATCATTTTGATATCCTTTCATAGTGTGAAAGGATATCATTTTTATTCAATGAATAAATTACAGTATTTCACGGGTAAAAATGTAATACTGATCATTTATCTCAGTTATACATATATTTGTCTCTCTTATCGCTCTTGATCAAGCTTATTGACTACATAACTGGTATTACAATAGATAGAACGTCTTCGCGAGATCTTTATTTTCGAAAGACAATGTGCTTGAGAAAATATTCTGGCGTATACATGTATGTAAAGATTATATAAGGTTTAATGCTTAACGACTAATCGTGAAAATGTTGTCTCAGCATTAGAAAGTCAATGTCTACCTCGAAAAATAAGGTTTACGAAAAATTAGTGATCTACAGCAATTTATAGAAATTGGCCTTACAACCATGAAAAGTGAAAATACCGTGGATCATTTTAATTAATGAGGACACTGTTTGTGTTTAACCAAATTTTGAATGAGTCGCAGGAAAGTTATTTCATGGGCAACATACTTAAGAAAGTATATAAATTCATAAGTAATGTTGACTCAAATATATAAGTATTCCCATGAATAATGATGACTTTTTAACCTCATGCATTTCCGTACATCACACGGTACTTTTACACTGTGGCAATCTCCTGGAATTCAAAGATATGAGAAAGAGAGAAACTGTCATTGGTTTTTGAGTATGGGACATTTAGTAAGACGTTGCAGAAAGTTCTTTCCTCCTGGCAAAATATATTAGTGGAATGCTTATTCTTGTGGGGTTTTTTGTTCCTTTGAAATATTTTCTGAGGTGTGTAAAATTGCTGTTGTCAGATTGGGTAGGGAAATATTTACGTGTCCATTGGGTGTATTTATAGCTATTTTCAGTTATCTTCCACATTTGGAAATCGTCCAGACCTGAAAAAGGATACTTTATTGAGATTGACTAGTGTAACCACCTATATTTCCTGCGAGCCATTGAGAGGAAAATCTAACCATAAACGTATTGCCTGTACGAATTCGAAAGGAAACAAGAGGCCACGGGCCCAGATATCACGGGAGTATCATGGTACAACATTCCAACAATTAAACTGGGTTCGTGTTTAAACTAGAAGCCATGAAATTCACAGTTTGCTTATCATAGCTATACACTAAGCATGCTTACTTTGGTTACTTAATACCCAGAGGCAGAGTAACAAAGAGAAAATACATTTCCACTTTTTAACCAGTTCTGCATCCAATCCCACAGGAACTACTGATTTGGGAAATTTTATGATAAATTTTACCGGATAGGTAAAAAATTTAGCGAGACGCAAATTTAGCGATTTGTGCTTAAAAATTGGTATTTTATTTTTGCGAGATGTAATTTTAGAGATTTTAAAACACTCACAGAAGCTATTACAAATAAATCGCGATTAATTTTTAGCGTTATACAATTTTAGCAATATTGGCATATATTGCTTATAAGGTATTTCATCATAAATGATTGATTAATACCAAAGAGCAGATTTCAAAGCATTAATTTTTTTTCAGGCTATCAGTACCCCTCATCCATGAGCGCTAAAATAAACTATTTTGCAAGAGGCACCTTTCTTCATCAAAAACATGTATTTAGATCATTGGCAATACCAAGGAGCAAAGGATTTTTTTTCAAAAATTCCTCCATTTTTACTATACAGTCATTAGAACTTTGCCATACCACTAAAACCCCTAACCCGACGGCCATGAAATTCACAAATTTAGAGGAAGCTTGCTTCTTCATAATAACTATTTATATGTACATAGTTCATTGGTTTAATACCTAGGAACAGACAAAAACGATTTTTAAAGAATTTATGAATTCATGCATTTTTACTACATATTCAATAGAGCCCCACCGAAACACCAGAACCCTTGATCATGGGGCCATGAAATGAACAATTTAGGAAGAGGCAACCCTATTTAATTTCACTATGGATTGGCTAGTTTGTTTTAAAAATTACTCAGAAACACAGAAGTTATTTTTAAAGAAGAATTTATGTATTTTCACAATCAGTCAATAGCGCCCCGGCCTTACACCGGAACTACCAACCCAGGGGCATAAAATTCACAATTTTGAAAGAGGCATTCTTGCTCGTTATAACTATGAACCTAGATATTTTGTTTAATTTCCTGGAGCAATGAAGAATTTAAGATTTTCAAAGAATTAATGCATTTCTACCATGTAATCAATCGAGCCCTCCCCTAACACCAGAACCCCACACCAGGGGTCATGAATTTTATAATTTTGGAAGAGACATTTTTGCTCATCATGACTATGTACTTGGTTAGGTTATTTAATGCTCAGGAGAAGAGAAAATTTTCAAAGAAATAATGCATTTTCTCATTTAATCTATTTAGCCCAATCCTAGCACTAGAATTTTTGGCCTTGGGGCCATGAATTTCAATTTTGGTAGAGGACTCAATGCTGATCATGCTAACAGTTTGGCTGCTTGATGTCCAGGAGTAATTTAAAGATTGCATTAATTTAAGTGGTTCTAGCCATCCCTCAGAGACATCCCCCGGGGGTGGGGGTGGGGGGTGGTCAAGCACCATGAAAATCACAATTTTTGTTCCCCTTCACCCATAAATGCTTTATGCCAAAATTGGTTGAAATTGGTTGGGCGGTTGAAGAGAAGATGCTGAGAATTTTCAAATGTTAACGCACAAAACATGACACACAACGCAAAACGCACAACTATGGTCGATAACAGATAGCAATATAGGTCACCTGCGTTTACTAAGGTGACCTAAAAATATTAGAGAAGGCGGACAAGGGCAAATTTCCAATGCCTAAATGATTATCCTTAATAGATATATGTATTTAACATTTTATAACTGATTACATGATAAATTTTAATGATTTAATGTCAAAGCAAAGAAGTTTTCAAAATTAAAATGAAATACATATATGCAAAGAAGCATTCTGACTAAAATAATTTATAGAATAGAAATGGTAATGATTTGCTTATCAGTTCTTTTCCTTGTGGTTAAAGTCACCTTGATAAAACATGAAGTGAGCACTATAACAAAGGACTAGCCTTGAAATGCAGACGGGTTGATTCCTTATCTTATTGATCCAATTCTTCTATCTCCCTGTTAAAGGCCATGTTATGGGAAACATTTGGTACCAATATAGATTTGAAGGCGGTGATAGAGAAATTAGAGGAACTCCAGACGACCGTACAAGTGATCGCATTTCTCCGTTAGAGAAGAAGAACATAAACCTTGAAAAACTTATAACACCGACCTCCACAACAGAGAGAACAAGCAAGATGAACAAAAAAAAGATATCCTTGTTACTGAGTAGACAGAATATCCAAGAAAAACAATACAGAGATCTAAAGAATCGACTTTGGAATTTGATACACTTACAGGGGGAAAATTCCTAATTTACTAAAGCCTTCACACAAAGCAAATAGAGTTTGATAAGAAAAGGAAATTTAAGGTTAATGACAATGCATCCTGCAAGCTTCACATTATAAACAATATTCATTGGAATTATATTTGCTCTTTACTGCACTTTTCTACACTGCAATTGCTTGCTCCTGTGACATCTCCAGCATCACATGGCAACATTGTTGCTTTCTATGCTTATTTATCGAAGAGTGTTCTATCTCCAAGTGCACATCACATCCTAACATTTGATAACGTAATCAAAAACGTCGGAAATGCCTTTCATTCCCACACAGGTACCTTCATAGCCCCCTGATCTGGTCTATACGTGTTTATGTGGACTATCAGAATGTATGGTGCATCATATCACTCAACAGACTTTTTGGTCAATAACAATGTCGTTGGGTCGACGTATCTAAATTCAGCTAGTACCATAGATGGCAGTGTTACCGGTACTGTCGAGGTGCATGTTGACCCAGGGGACGACGTTTTTCTAAGAACTGCTGAAACATACAACCATGGTAACATTTTCAGTGACTTTATTGGAAGATCATCATTTGCAGGATGGATTTTAGATTAAACTTCTTTAAACTCTGATTAATTTCTTTTCTGTTGTTTTTGTGAAATTTTTGCCTTTTCCGTTAACAGAATTTTTAGTAGCTTTCAGTTCTAGATTTTAATTTTGATAAGGATATGCAACTGTTTTATTGTTCGAATTAGGTGAGAACTGATAAATTTGTATTGAATATCAGTTTTTT